AGAAAGAAACATTGAAAGAGCGCTGGGAGAGGTAGGAGGAGCACCAGGAGAGAGCAATATCTTGTAGTCCGATATTGCGGAGGATGAGAAGAAGCTGTTGATGATCAACAGTGTCAAAACCCACAGACAGGTCAAGGAGAATTAGGATAGAGTAGTGACCATGAGATTTTGCAGCGAGTAGATCATTGGATACTTTGGTCAGTGCCGTTTCCACAGAGTGCTTAGCGCGGAAACCAGACTGAAGTGGGTATAGCAGAGAGTTGGACTCGAGGAAATCTGTCAATCTCGCATACACAATTCTTTCAAGGATCTTGGATGCAAAAGGCAGTAGCGAGATAGGACGATAGTTGGATGGGGTGTTAGGGTCAAGATTGGGCTTCTTTAGAATTGTTTGAAGGGCGATGGAAATATACCAGAGGAGAGAGAGAGATTGAGAATTTTAGTGAGAGGTGGAGAAGAAGACAGAGTACGGATGAGATGCAAGGGAATTGGATCTAGGGAGCAGGTGGTGGGGCGGAAGGACTGGAGCAGAGCAGAAACCTCTTCCTATGTAGCGGGTGCGAATGAACATAGAACAGCAGAGGGAGTGAAGTGAGGGGAAGTATTGTAAGGGGAAGAAGAAAGATAAGAGATCTCTTCTCTGATTGTAGAGATCTTGTCAGTGAAGTGAGTTGCAAAGTCTGAGGCGGTCAAGTTAGTAGGTGGAGGAGGAACAGCAGGGCGAAGAAGAGAGTTAAATGTGTGAAATAGTGTGTGGTTATGAGGGTTTTGAAGTAATTAACTTTTGCAGAGGAAAGAGCCAAGCTGTATGAGCTCAGCATAAATTTATAGTGGAGAAAGTCAGATGCACAGTGAGACTTTCTCCAACAGTGTTCAGCAGTTCTGGAGCATTTTTGGAGGTATCGCGGGAGCTTGGTGTGCCAGGGTTGTCGTTTCGGGCGCCTGCAGCATTTAAAGGTAAAAGGTGCCATGATGTATAGTTGAGAGGAGACGGTGGAATTGTAGAAGGAGGTTGCAGAACTAGGACAGGTGAGGTTTGAGATAGGTAAAAGGAGAGTTTGGAGATTAGTAGAGAAATGCTCTAGGTCAAGACATTTGAGGTTTCAGTGAGAGTGATGTTCAGACGGTGGTGTCAATTGGGTCTTAGGTATGTCAATGTCAAAAGTCAGCAGATGGTGGTCAGACAGAGGAAAAGGAATATTGGAGAGATTAGAGGCAGTACAGAGGTTGGTGAAGGCAAGATCAAGAGTGTTTCCCGCTGTATGGGTTGCTAAATTGGACCATTGTGTAAGGCCAAAGGACGAGGTTTCAGAGAGCAGACGAGAGGCATCAGTGCAATTGGGGTTGTTGATTGGGATATTAAAATCCCCAAGTATAAGGGAAGGAGTGCTAGATGAGAGGAAGTGGGGGAAGCCAGGAAGAAAAGTACTCAATGAATAGTCTAGGATAACCGGGGGGGTGGGGTGGGGGTGGTGGTAGATGATAGCAATTCTTAAAGGAGTGGGTTTAAATAGGCAGACAGTGTGAACTTCCAAAGAAGAAAAGGCAGGGGGAGTTATGATTGGTTGAAAGGTACATTGTTGTTTCCACTTTCTAGCCAGGATATTTTTTGCTGCAGCTAAACTATGTATGGTTATATATTGTTGTTTCTTTGTCATAGTTGGCCAAAATAAATGTAATAATACTGACTGGGGAGATATCTTTATCTCAATCTCGTCGAACTTAAATAAAAATTCAAATACCCAGTCCCATAATTTCTTAATATTTGGGCAGCTCCACCACACATGATTCATATAGTTGCCAACTAATACATTGCATCTCCAACATATATTTGAGATGTATCTATCTATTTTAACCATTCTTGTTGGAACTAGGTACCATCTGTTTGGTACCTTATAGAAATTTCCGAATAATGCAAGGTTATGTATATTTTTATTTACTTTGTATTGTGCACTGTACCAGTCTTCTAAATTTTTAGACATATAATTGGTTCTTTCTCCCATTTTTTAATTGCATTTGGCTTTTCTATGGTTTCTGATATTTGTATTAATTTGTTACAATTAGAAATTGTTTTGTCTTTTTCCATTTTTCCAAAAATCTTATGCATTTGATCCATTGATTCTATATTTCCCTCATACATATAATCCATAATATATGATTTTACTCTCAGATAAGTAAATAAATCTGTATTGGTTGAAGCAAATTATTTTATTAGGGATGGAAAAGGTTTAATTTTATCTTTATTCATGATATCTAATAACCTGTTGATATTTCTACTCTTCCAGCTAGAAGCTGACATATGCGCCATTAGATTATTAGGAACTTCCAATTCTAGGAAGTCAAAAATATAATTCTTTAACTTTAATTTCTTTTTTACTTTAAACCATACTGAAAAAAATGTGTGACAAGACCTTATTATCTTTAAGTTGCTTTTCCCATTTTGTCTTTTCTTTAAATATAGCTTTTTCCCATAGTTTCTTTTTCTATCTTACTCCAACCCTGTTTATTCCATCTATCGTTTGTCAACAATTGAAGATGGTATATTGCGTTAGCTTGGTAATGCTGCTTGGTATCTGGAAAATGTACTCCTCCTTTGTTAATCTTTCCAATCCTATTCTCACCTTTTACCTCTGCATAAAAAATTCCAAAAGCTGGCTGCCACATACCTAATATTAGTAATATTGTTTGAATTAACATGATCACCCTTTTAATCTAGAATTAAGTTAACAGGGTCTTGTAATGTGTGTTTTATACATATCTCAAAGTGAAATCTGATCAATTTACTGCAGAATTTTGTAAACAGGATACCTGATGTAAATTAATCACATGGTGTAATACAACTTACTTTTGCACAACAGATCATTTAGGAGGACCACTTCATCACTATAGGCAACATTGGCAGCAGCCTAAGGCACCATGCTATAGGGGCATGCCATAGGGGGCATTCTCTTAACCTGGCAGTGCCAAATACAATTTTCTATGAGACTAGAAAGTGAAACAAAAATCTCCGTCCACACAGAGTACCAAGATAAATTGAGCTACATAGTTCATGCATCCCAACCTTCACTATGTCGAAAAATCAGTCCCTATTTTGGGTTCAAATCCCATTCCATCCTAATGTCCTCCTTCTTTTCTATTAGTTCCATATTGTTGGTGTGTCAGAGTGTATAAGAGAACTCCACAGTGATACTTGTAGTAAGGTGTCTTTAAATAAATGTAAATAAGATACATTGTTCTTGCTCTAAATTACATATTAGTTAGAAACATTTTAATTAATAAGTCACAAAAAATTACTCAGAACAGCCCCACCGCAGGTCACCCCTCCACTAACAGCCCTAAAATTGAAGTGTCCCTCTTTGCCCATCTGAAATGTTGGCAGGTATGATTTATTTTCTACCCAAAGATTTTGATAGAATAGATATATTTTTTTTTATAGAATAGATGGTTTTTGGATAAAATAGATTTTTTTTTTAATGGCCTAGGTGGGTTTTTTAAAAACAAAAACAGACTATTCATTAATATAATTAATTTGTGTGTAAACAACTAGTTGATTCAAGGAGAAATCTGATTGCCATTATGGAGTCTAGAACGATTGTTTCCTAATTTTGTGGCAAATTGGAAATCAATTGTTTTGTTTTTTTTTGCCTTCTTTTGGATCAGCTTCTAAGGAATTGGTTTTAAAGGTTGAACTTGATGGACTTGAGTCTCTTTTCAATTTTTTTTTTTTGCCAATCTTATTTTTTATTGAGGCATTAAGTTGTATGGGATACAAAATAGAAGCAGGGAGACAACAAGGTAGCATACATATCAGGTAAAATACAATTCACTTTAAAACAGTTTTAGGTAACTTTGATCCTCCGTTTGTGTTAAGCAAAACATTTCTTGGAAGAGTAACGTAGTGGTGGGGAGACGGTTGATATTGTAAGAAGGTATACAGATACTTTATATCGACCGTGCTGCTCGGTAGTCTAATCAGGTTGCTATATGTGAGGTTTAGGTGCCTCAAGTAGTGAGAATTTAGGAGAGTACAAGGGGCTGGGTCGGGGGAAAGTGAGAAGCACAGGGGGATTCACTCCAACTCTCTGCAAGCGTATATTGAAGTTTGAGCCAAAGACTTTGCCTACGCATTTAAAAAAAAAAAAAAAAATTACATGCGTTAGAGTTGTTCCCAGTGTGAGGTGATAATTTGGATTGGATGTACCTAGTAGATACTAACATGGTTAGTGAGCTTCACCAAGGGTGGTGAACCCCTTCGGTTGGACGGCTAAACTTCTGAGTTGTGGGCACGTTTAAGCACTGCAATCCCCTGATTGCCTGGGTAATTTGCGAGTCTGCAGCCCTTACTATGCGTAAGTCTAAGTCTACCCGGCACTCGTCAGGATATCTCCCCTAGAGGGTCGCTTGTCACCCGGAGTCATCTATCCGTCGGGGGTCAGAGAGCTAGGTGTCAAGAGTGATGAAGTAAGCATAGGGAATCTCAGTTCCCCTTGTCCCTGTAATCCCCGAGCTCCCGTGGATTCGTTGCTTCCTCGTCATTAGTCGGGCGTCAACCTCTACCTTGTCTGTGTTGTTGACGTCGTGTTGCGTCGCCCGGGTTAGGGGGCTCCCGTAGCTGTATGTCCCCCTTGCGTAACCCCACCTCTCTCTAACTCATGAAGTGTCTGTCAAAATGCGTCCGTAGCGTGTTAAACAGTGTGCGGGGTGGCCCTCACTCTAGGTACTCGGTTGGCCCAGCCTTAGCCCGCGTAGACTGTACCGCTTACGTCGAGCGCCAGGCGTTTACGGTACGGGAGGCCTGAAGCTGTGAGAGCAGGTAGAGCAAAGTGAGCAGGGTTACAGGAGGTAGAAGAGACGAGAGGGGGGAGTAGTAAAGCTTCACAGCATAAGGGAAGGATGGTAGGGGACAATGTGGTCATATCGGGATGCCCCCCTCCGGGGAGCCATCCCTCTCTGCGCCCCTCCACAGTGGCTCCCCAGGTCTTCTGAGGCCCTCGAGTGACCTAAGCAGTCTCCCCTCCGGCTATGAGGGTGGCATCAGTCGTTGGATGTGTCCTGGCCGTGCGGTCCTCCGCAAGAAACATAAGCCAGGGGGTCCAGATCTGTTGGTAGCGTTCCGTGGTGTTCCGGAGAGAGGCCGTGAGTTGTTCCATGCCATGTATCTCCTCCACTTTGTCCATCCAGTGGTCAAGAGTGGGCACCTGAGGGGACGCCATCTGACCGGGATAAGGAGCTTGGCCGCATTTAAGAGGTGTCTTGTCAGGGATTTTTTATAGCGTGATAAGGGTAGGGGGGTGTGATGAAGGAGCATCTGCAACGGCTGGAAGGGGAGCTCTATATCCATAATGTCCTTAATCTTTGCATGGACTTGCCGCCAGTGCGTGGCTATCTTTTCGCATGACCACCAAATATGTAAGTCAGTGCCCGTCCCCGTGCCGCACCTCCAGCAGATCTCGGAGACCTCGGGCATCATCCGGTGGAGCCTCGCCGGGGTCCTGTACCAGCCAGTCAGTAGTTTATAGTTTAGTTCTTGGTGTTTGGAACTCATGGAGCTTTGGTGGGACAGGATGTGTATTTTCGTCCACTGGGGGCCTGAGAGTGTGAGTCCTGCGGCCTCCTCCCAGCGTGTCATATGTTTCATGGGTTCCCCGGTTGATGCGGAGATGATCATTTTGTAGAGGGTAGAGACCCCGCGGGCCATATGAGCTTGTTGCACACACAGGTCTTCGAGTTCTGTGGTCGGTCTATGGAACAGGCGGCGTCCAACGTGTGACTGGTAGTAAGTCTTAACTTGGAAGTACCGGAACCTGTCAAGGCCCGATGGCACTGCCTCTCGTATCAGGTCCGGGAGTTGCTTTAGTGCGTCCTCTGTACACCATTGGTGCATGAACGTCCATTCCGCATCTCCAAACGCCTCGATATCCCGGGGAGTGAGGCACCCCGCTAGTTCTGGGTTGTGTGTAATCGGGGTGAGCGGTCCTGGTGTGGTGGACAGCTGGAGCTTCGTCCGTATGGAGTACCATGTCCGTAGTGTCGCCCCTATCAGGGGGTGGTTCCGGGTCCGCGAGTTCGTCAGTGGGCCTCCAAGCCAGGCAACCGCCGGGAGGGTGCCCCCCAGTTGTGCCCGTTCCAGGTTGATCCAAGCTTTGTCGGTCCTGGTCACGTGCCAATCCACTACTCTGAGCAGGTGTGTCGCCCTGTGATAGTCTCTTATAGATGGGAGGCCAATTCCACCTCGATCTTTCGGTTGGTGAAGGTGGATTTTCTTTAATCTGGGGGTCTTAGAACACCAGATAAACTGTGTGATGGCTGCCTCGACGGATCTGAAGAAGGAGATAGGCGGGTTAATGGGAATGGTTTGGAATAGATAAAGGAGGCGGGGCAAGAGGTTCATTTTTATAGCATTTATTCTTCCGAACCAGGACACACATAGGCTCGCCCAGCGTGTCAGGTCTGTTTTCAGGGTGTGAAGCATCGGAGCGAAGTTGTGGGTGTAAAGTTGGGTTAAATCCGCCGAGAGCCATATTCCCAGGTATTTGATTTTATGGCAGCACCACGTGAAGGCAAACTGGGTTTTCAGGTGTTCGGTCAGTTCCTCGTTAATGGTAATGGGGAGAGCCTCTGACTTATCCGTGTTCAGCTTCATGTTAGACACTCTACCGTATTCCGCAAAGGCCTTCAGCAAATTCGGCAGGGACACCAATGGATCAGCAACGAAAAACAGCATATCGTCGGCGTAGGCCGCTACCTTATGTGTCTGCCCGTATACATTGAGTCCCCCTATTCCCCCGTCCCGTCTGACCGCCCCCAGAAAAGGCTCTAGGGAGAGGGCAAACAGAAGGGGGGAAAGCGGGCAGCCTTGTCGTGTTCCGTTTCGAATCCGGATAGGCTCAGATAGAGCGCCATTGATCCGGATACGTGCAGTCGGGTCCACGTATAGGGCGGAGATCCATGCCAGCATATGCGACCCAAAGCCCATGGCTCTCATCGTAGCCTTCATGAAGCGCCAGTCGACCCTGTCAAAGGCCTTTTCCGCATCTGTCGAGAGGAGTAGGATCTTTTGCGAGGACTGTCGTGCCGCCTGGATGACATTCAGGGCCCGTATAGTGTTGTCCCTAGCTTCTCTTCTCGGGATGAATCCGACCTGGTCTGGGTGTACCAGCTCTGGTAGGATCCTGCCTATGCGCGTGGCGATGACCTTCGTGAAGAGCTTCAGGTCAGCGTTTAGGAGGGATATCGGCCTGTAGCTCGCACAGTTGGTCGGGTCCTTTCCTTCCTTAAGGATAACGGTGATGGTGGCCGTTAGAAGGTCCCGAGGGAGGGTCTCCCCCTCCAGGAGGGAATTAAGGCCCGTAAGTAATTTAGGTAGCAGGACATCACCAAATTCCTTAAGATATCTCGCCGGGAAGCCGTCCGGGCCCGGGGCTTTGTTCATTTTGGCGCCCTTCAGCGCCAATTGGAGTTCTTCCAGAGTTAGAGGGGCATCCAGTTCCTCCGCCTGCTCGCGGCTTAAGGTGTTCATTATGTGTCGTTGTAGGTATGCCTCTATCTCTGCGACCCTGCGGCGGTCGGCCTCTGCGGAGCGGTCTGTGGGTAAGTTATAAAGCTCTTCGTAAAATCCGCGAAATGCGCCAGATATTCTATCCGGTAGCTGTGAGGTTGACTGGTCACCGGTCTTGATCTTCGTGATGTGGCACAGTCGGCGCCTCTTTTGAAGCGTCCGGGCAAGAAGACGGCCACACTTGTTGGAATACTCATAGAAGAAGCGTTTGGATTTGCGGATGGTGTACTGTAGCTTCCTGTGCAGAATATCCCGTAGGGACTTCCTGGCGCATAAGAGGGCTCTGTAATTATCGGCCGTCTGGGTAGTCTTGTGGTCATTTTCCAGTTGTGTGATTTGTGCGGTTAGCTCCTTTATACGCTGTTTCTGTGTCCTGCTCCGGTGTGAGCATATTTTAATGAGCAGTCCCCGGATGACGCACTTGTGCGTTTCCCAGATCGAGAGTGCCGGGATGTCCGGGGATTCGTTTTCTTCGAAGAAGTTGGTAAGAGCCGTGCGGATGTCCGCGGCAATAGGCACGTCGGTAAGGATGGATTCGTTCATGCGCCACTGGCGCCCAGTTGGGCGGAACAGTGGGGATCGAATTCGTATCGATACCGGTGAGTGATCAGACCATCCCATGGGGCGTATGTCTGCCGAAAGGAGCATAGGTAGTAGCTCCTGGGCCAGGAACACGTAATCCAGTCTGCTATATCGTTTGTGGACTGTAGAGTAGTAAGTAAAATCTGTATCGCAGGGGTGAAGCGCCCTCCAGGCATCCACAAGACCAGTGTCCCGCAACCCATTTCTGATGGACCTCAAGCCTTGTGGTGAGAACGAGCTCACTCCTCTGGACGTGTCCGTTCCCGGTTCCAGGGCGACATTCAGGTCCCCGGCCATTATTAGAAAGCCCTCTCGGAACCTCTCCAGCTTGGTCAGCGTCTGTCTGAGGAATTTGCGTTGGTGTATGTTTGGGGCATATACACAGGCAAAGGTGTACATGCATTCAGCTATAAAGCCTTTGATGAAGAGGGAGCGTCCCATAGGGTCTGACTCAGTCCCCGTACAAACGAACGGGACTGTGCTGGCCAGTAAGATCGCCACTCCTGCCCTTTTTGACGTAGGATGATTGGCAAAGTAACCCTGTGGGAATCGGGAGTCGCGTAGCGAAGGGCCCCTGTCACCCTGGAAGTGTGTCTCCTGGAGGAACGCTATGGATACCTTCTCACTCCACAGGGTGCGCAAGAGATGCGATCTCCGCTCCGGCACATTGAGGCCCCTGGTGTTATTTGACCAGATGTGGAGAGGCGCAGGAGTGAATCCCGATCCCATCGTTCCGGGCAAAGGGGGAGAGAGGGGGGGGGGGAAGTAGCTAGCAGGTGAGAGAGCAAGAGAGGAGGAGGGGGTTTAGTTAGGACCCCTCTGGGGTCACGGGGACTCGACACCGGTGGAGGATGAGTCGCGTGGGCCACTCCTAGGGGGTGGGCCACCGTCTCCCACCAAATTTAGATGTGGTGTCTGTCGCGGGGCGCTAGACCAAGCGAGCACCGGTACAGAGCCCGGGCTGGGTGGTTAGATCACACTGTAACCTACGTGCCCAGTGTGGGTGTTCTCCAACAATGTAGGATGGGCTTGTCAGTCCGTTGCAGTCGATACCCTCCAAGGGTGTCGGTGAAGTGTGTGTGAGTCAAACCACTAGTCGTCTGCCCCCCTGGCCGAGGGTATGTAGGCCGGTCAGTATGCGTGGTGGCTGTCAATCCCAGTCAGTCGTTTCGGGAACCGTATGCGGTTATGCAAGTGGTCGTATGCGGTTATGCAAGCACCCCTGTCTGTCCGGGGACCGTGTGTGATCACGGCCTCCTTGGCTTTTAGTCCTCCTCAGTGGCCTAGCAAGGGGGTGGGGGGGTCCGTGCGCAGCCGGTCGCAGGTGGTCTGTGGTCACTTTTCCGTGGATCAGCAGCAGTATGGCTAAGTGCAGGCAGGGTCGGGGCAACAGCCATGGGTGGATGGTGTAAAACCGTTTGGAGCGTTTAGGCCAATGTTGTCGTCTGCTACCTTGGTTTGGGCCTGGGTCCCCAGTGTCTCAGTCACCTAGAATGCAGGAGTGCGTGTCAGCCAGACTAAGGTCACCTATCGTGGGAGCTGTCCTCGGGTTCGTGCGGTCCCCATCTCTCAAGCCCGTGCTCCTAACCCCCTACCTCCGCCGTCTAGAGGTGTCCCCATCTAGCCCCTGCCATATCAAATCCTCGGCTCCAATCTATCGTGCAGCTAATTAGGCAAGTCATGAGTGCGGTTACCGAAATACATCCTACAATTAAATACAAAGCTTGAGATCTGGTGTTGAGGCCCCCAACAATAGGTCCCTGTACGGCCTCCTTCTGTGAAAAGGAGACCCATATGTCCCGCCATGACCCCTCTCCCCTCCCAAAGATCCAGCATAGACCATCAGAGTGAAGTGACCCGGAGTAAGGCCCCAACTAATATGTAGGCAGTAGTCCCTGTCCATGTAATTCTCCCAGGTATCACAGAATCCCTTGGTGGCTGTTATTCTCATGTGCACGTGGCATTGGCAGGGCCAGGTCGTACCGTGTGCTACAGATACAAAAAGTCCCAGACCTGTGAGCCAGTCTGAGTATCCCCTAGTCCACAGACCCCCCTCCCCAAATATCAGTCCAG